TTTTGGAACCGCTTATCAGCTGGGCGGCGGGCTCTCGGGAAGGAGTGCAGGGACCTCCTCCACTCTCCTTCCCAAGCGCTGGCCAGCCTTTCCCCCCAGCTGGCCAGCCGGCACTCAGGAAGGAGGGCAGGGACCTCCTCCACCCTCCTTCCCCAGCACTGGCCGGCTTGTACTTGCTCCTTCTTTCTAATTGGTTCCGTTGTATAAATATAAGTGTTAACTACACCAATATCCTCATCTCTTTCCATTTCAAACCAATCTGGGATTTCTTCTGTCTGTATAAACTTTATTACTTGAGTAATTTGAAAGGCTTCATAATACTTTATTAATTGTGGCATCCCTAACCCTTCCTTTATGCTTTGACCATATTTAACACTGTTTATGAACCTTAATTTTTTTCCCCTTTTCTGCCAATAAACCTTTCTAGGTTGTTTTGCCATAATTTTATTTTTTAAATTTCAGGTTGTAGTGATATATTTGGATTTTTTTTTAAAATGGTAATATATGCACTTTAACTAATGCTCTTCTCCCTAACATTGATATATTCAATTTAATCCAATTTATAATTTTCCTTTTACTGATTTGTATAATTTTTTTTGGTAATTTCTATATATTAATTCATTTATACTTTTTGTTATCCAAATTCCCAGATATTTGAAACTTGAATAACATAAGTCCAGATTTGACTTCTTGTTAATTTATTTTTGTTCTGCTATAGAGATATTTATGCATAACAATTTGGGTTTTTGATAGTTTTTAGGCCCATATAATAACAATGTTCTTGTAATATTTGTTTTAGTGTTTCTATGCTTTTTATTGGGTTCTCCAAAAATAGAAGCATGTCATCTGCATAAAGGTTTATTTTATGTTTTCTATTTTTAAACACCAAGCCTTTAATATTTTCATTTTCTCTTATTTGTGCAGCAAGTGGTTCTATTGCTATTTCAAATATAATTGGGGATAAGGGGATAGGGGGTCACCTTACTCTAAATAGAACAAATTTGTCTGATTCTATTCCGTTGATGAGTACTTTAGCCTCCATATATAATTTTTAAAGTCATTAATAAATTTTTCACCCATATTCATTTTTCTAATAATTCAAACATATACAGTGGTGCCCCGCATAGCGACGTTAATCCGTTCCAGGATTAACATCGCTATACGGAAACATCGCTGAACGGAACAAAAAACCCCATAGGAACGAATTAAACCCTGTTTAATTCGTTCCAATGGGGCAAAAACTCACCGTTCAGCGAAGATCCTCCATAGGGCTGCCATTTTCGCTGCCTCGGTAAGCGAGGCGCGAAACGGGCGGCCATTTTGGAACCGCTTATCAGCTGGGCGGCGGGCTCTCAGGAAGGAGTGCGGGGATCTCCTCCACTCTCCTTCCCAAGCGCCGGGCGGCCTTTCACCCCAGCTGGGCGGCGGGCTCTCGGGAAGGAGTGCGGGGTTAACAAATGCCCTATGATGTCCTCTTCCGAAATTTTATAAAATTCTGCTGTAAACCCCTCACAACCTGGTGATTTGCCCTTTTAAATTTTTTTAATAACTGATTTTATTTCTGTTATTGCTACTGGAGAATTAAATAGCTCTTTATGATTTCCTATAATTTGGCTAACTGATAATGTATTTAGAAATTCATTAATGTTTGTATCTGGTGTTGATTTTGTCTCATACAATTTTTTATAATACTCCATAAATGTTGTTACTATTTGTTGTTGTCAGGTTACTATTGTTTCTTCCGGACCAGAAGAACTGTTGAGTGAAGCCAGGACTTTTATGAGTGAAGAATAGAAAAAAACCTAATCAAAAGAAAAGAAAAGCCTACATAGAATTTGTAATTGTTCAGGAGATATGAAAAGCAAAAGTAGAAGGGGGCAGAAACAGGGGCATAATCCTAAATGCAACTTTTCAGTGAATGACACATGGAGACAAATAACAACAAAAGAGGAAACATAAAAGCTCTTTTCCATAAAACATAGAATAGGAATGATGAAAGACTAACCAGAAAACATACTATGACCTGGATAAAATAAAGAGAAGGTAGAAATAACATACTTAAGAACTATACAGAAGTGTAAGGATGAAAGTTTCGTTTGATGAAGAACTTGCAATTTTGGAAAAGTTTAAAGCTCCTCTGAAAGCACATGTAAGAAATAAATCACCAGGCGTAGATGGCATACTCTGAAGACGTATTCCAAGCTACAGAAACAGTGTCTATCAAAAGCCTATCAAGAAATTGCTAATAAATACAGAAAATAAAATAATGGTTCATAGACTGGAAACATATCATGTACATTCCAGTCCCTGAGAAAGGATGTCTATAGGTAAAGTAATGCATTACCATATAGGTAAAGTAAAGCTCAAGATTTTATTACAGTGACATTTACCATAAATAGAGCAAAAAATAGCTAATATTCAAGCTGAATTTTGCTCTAGCAGGTACTCAAGTGGTGGCTGAAAAGAACTGGGGGAGTATGGCTAAGTGCAGGAATGAACACAGTAGGGGGGAGTCTGTTTAATGGTCCTTTCATTTCGACAAGGTTTCATTCAGGTGCAGAAATACCTATATGTATGATTCACAGGGACCACAGAGAGGAAGAATAATTGTGTGCTATCAGTTCAGTTTTGACTTCTGGTGACCCTTTCTACAGATTTCAAGGCATAGAATAGTCAGACATGTTTTACTATTCCCTTCTTCTGGGAGCAACCTGAGACTGGAGCTTGCCCAAGGCTACACATACTGGCTCTACTCCCTGGAAGCATAGAAGGGAAGCAGACTTCTAACCACTGGTTCCACAGCAAAAACTTTGACTGTGTGGATCACAAAAAGCCGTGGGTTCTTCTAAAACAAATGGGTGTGCCTCAACCTTTGATAGTCCTAATCCATACTCTTTATATTGGAGAAAAACTATTATTAGGATATAATATGGAGAAACAGAGTGGTATCCCACAGACATAGGAGTGAGATAAGATTATATTTTATCTTCCTGTTTGTTCAGTCTGTATGCAGATCATACCATGGATGTTCGCTACATTTGAATCAAGCTAGATTAGATTCTGATGAAGTAACAATGAAAATTGTTGGAAGAAACATCAATAATCTTATATATTCATATGACACCATATTGCTGGCAGAAAGCACAAATGACTTGAAGAAACTCCTGATGAAGGTGAAAGTGCAAAAGCAGGACTGCAGTTGAACATTAAGAAGATAAAGATTGTGTCTAAAGAAGAGTTATATAATTTAAATGTTGACAGTGAAGAAATTAGAATTAGTAAAGATTTTGCATACCTTGGTTCAGTTGTCAATCCAAGTGGAGACTGTAGCCAAGAAATCAGAGAAAGACTGAAGCTCAGAAGGAGAACAGTGAAGAAGCTAGAAAAGGTAATCAAAGTATAGGGATGTGTTCCTGGAAACCAAGGCAAGATCATCTGCATTGTATTCCAGTTATTATGGACAAATGTGAAAACTGGACAGTGAAGAAAACCAACAGGAAAAAATATTAATTTGCAATGCAGTGTTGGAAGAAAACTTTACAGACACCAGGGACCACTAGAAAGACAAATAAGTGACTGCTGAATCAAATAAAGCCTGAATTCTTTCTAGAAGAAAAAATGTCAAAACTGAGGCTGTTGTTTCGCACTTCATGAGAAGAGAATATTCAGAGGAAAAGAAAACGTTTCTGGGAAAAGTTTAAAGTAGAAAAAAGAGAACAGTAGAAAAAAAAGAACAAATATGGGATGGATTGAGTGGGGGAAGCCATGGCCTTGAGTTAGTAAGAGCTAAGCAAGTAGGGCAATGAAAGGTAGGACATTTTGGAGGGAACTAATTCACAGAGCTGCTATACGTTGGAAATTATTTGACAGTACAGTATATAACAACAAACTGTGATCGTGCCACTTGTCATCTACCTCCCTTTCTCTACTTTGTCCAAAAAAGAATTCATCACACCCAATTCTTCTAATAATGCCACTTGTCATCTGCCTCCCTTTTCTCTACTTTGTCCAAAGAAGAATTCGTCACACCCATTTCTTCTAATAAAACCGGTTTATTGTTTAGCATGGCTTCTATGATTTTTTTGGTCTTGTTTCTCATCATCCTATGTCAACAACAAATCATAAGTCTTTACATTATTTGATTTTTTTGGCCTTGTTTCTCATCATCCTATGTCAACAACGAATCATAAGTCTTTACATTATTAAAACAGGGTATCTCTCCATCGTAAGACAACAGGGAATAACTTAACTTCTTGGGTCCGTTTGGGTCTGGCACCCATCAACTCTGGAGTGTTCTCAGCCTACTTCAAGCTTGTAGATGGGACGTTGTAGTTCCCTGCAGTCCCCCATTTGTTGAGCCACGTATCTTTCTCTGTCGGGATTTGGAGGGGCTGGGCCCACGGGACTTCTCAGGAATCACTATACATTTTTGGCTTTCTCTCCTTTGTTCTTCTCTCTTCACCCATGCCCTATATTCCTTCCTTTGCTTTCCCTCCTCAGTCTCCCCCCAGTATGGTGGCTTTCTATACATTTGTCGCCTCCATTCCCTTTCGGCATATTCATGAGGTACCTTGAGCTCTACCCACTCTCCTGTCCAAAGATCTTCCTGGATCAACTCTACTAGTTCTTCCTTTTTCTCTCCTTTCTCCTCTCTTCCCGAACATGCTTCTGCCTCCTCCCTTACTTCTCCCTTTTGTGCCCGATTTGTGCCCCCTTTAGCCTCTTCTTTTATTTCTAGTTTACTTAATTCCTTTTCTGTCACTCCTATCTCTTGTACTTCTTCCTTTACTTGAGAGGCAGACGGTACACTCTCCTGATCCTGGGTGAGGTGGCTTGTCACCTCACACAAACATGTAATACGAATTCAAGAGTGTCAGTAGTTTGAAACATCTGTGTACTTTGGCTCTTCTCAATCCACTTTTTTCCATTTTTTTGTCTCATTTCTAGTACTAAAATGAAATTGCAGACTATAAGTAACTTGTATTTTTTTATATCTTCAGTCACAATAGAATGCGAACTTATGACACCTATGTGGGAATTGGATGGCTAATCCCTGGTATGGACAAAGGTCTCCTTGGAATGTGTGTAGGAGAAAAGCGCATAATTATTATACCACCTTTTCTGGCATATGGAGAAAATGGCGATGGTAAATGCTAGTTTCTGTGTCCAAATTAACATAAGATACTTTGAAAGAATATGAATTCACAGTACTTTATACAGGAAGGAGCCAATCAGTCAGTTAAAAAAAAAGCTTGATTGGGTGCTAAATGTTTGTTGTATACTTAGAGATGAAAAGTTTCATTTTATTTTGTTTACTAATTTCTCTTAATTGTTTCCCTACCTTGGAAAGTGGCAAAATTGCAAGATGATCAATTTATTTTCAAATTTCCTACACATTATCCTACAACATACCAATAATGATAAAGATTTCGGAATCACACTACACACTGTATTGGCACATTAGATGTGTGTTATTAATTGTTTGGAATGTGTGAATAGGTCTATCATTTATGATAAAATTTATCTTCTACTTTGACCTCATGGTAGTCATCTGGCCAAACAATATAATAGTAGCCATATAATAATAACATTGCAGAGAAGGAATTTACAGATTCCAGAAAGCTGTCAAGGAAGCGGTGTGACATTGTTGGAGCATATTACCAGTAGTTTGTATTAATTCATCCTAAGGATATTCCTCAGAGCAACAGCCCGAATCCTGTTGGATATGTATGCATCCAGTTGCAGAAGTTGACACAGCTAATTGATGAGGTGCTGTCATATATTGGTTGCAGACCTGACTGTGCACTCAGCGCATACGTGGCATATTTCTGGACCTTGCCAGTCTCAATTAGTTGCAGTAACTTTTGCAGCTGGTGTTACGCATACATAGATATCCAGTAGGATTTTCACTGGTGAAAGTGGAAATGAAGTCATTTGTAAGCATATTTGCCTTTCTAACACTTCCTGAACCATCTTTTGCTAACCACAATTCAAGTTAATGAAGTAAACATCAAGTAATTATGTCTGTACAGTATGTGTACTTATATACATCTACAAGGTTAAAGGCAAAGCTCAAAAAGGCAGGTTCTTCAAATATTTGACATTATATTGCAGAGAAGTATCGTATATCAAGAGGCTGCTGTGATTGCTTTTTATAACCTGTCAATTGGAAAATATATTTTTACTCCTGAAAAATATGTTATAATCCACTGAGAACAGCTGTTCCTGTTATGTCCTTTTTAGGACTACAGTGGTGCCTCGCTTAGCGATCGCTCCATTGAGCGATGAAATTGCTTAGTGATAGGGTTTTGGCCATCGCCAGAGCTATCGCTTAGCGATGGCCCCTATGGGGAAAAATTGCTTTGCGATGATCACGGGAAAGCGATCATGGCAAAGCGACCCTTTTTGCACAGCTGATTGGCGGTTCCAAAATGGCTGCCGGAAAAACAAAATGGCTGCCCGCTGTTTTGCCTCGCTTTAGAGGCACCGAAAATGGCCGCCCCTATGGAGGATCTTTGCATAAGGTCAGTTTTTAAGCCCATAGGAACACATTAAACACGTTTTAATGCGTTTCTGTGGGCTTTTTAAAATCGCTTAGCAACATTTTCCCTGGAACGGATTAACGTCGCTAAGCGAGGCACCACCGTACTTGGTGGGTAGTTTATATATGGAACTGTTGTAATACTCTTACTTTGATTGCTGGATTTTATGGTGGGAATAATCATGAATCAGGACTTGTTGGCTCGTGTGTTATATTGAGATCTTGAAGGTTTCAATTGGAGGAATTAATGTTTGCGATATTGCAAGAACATTTAGTTGAATTACACTCCTCACAGAGAAGAATGGAAGTTGCACCTCCCCAACACATTTCCTAGAGTGAACTTTATTCAGTCCAATAAGATTTTTGAGTAATCATACCCAGAATTGGATTGTAGGCATAATTAAAAGTAACCTGTTTTGGAGGATGACAGTGAGTGGTATATTTTACTGTTCTTAGTCATTACATTTGCTTGAGAATTGGCAGGAGGGGAAAAAATCAACATGTTACTTTAGACAGGATTTTTATTTATTTATTTATTCTATTTATATCCTGCCTACCTGGTAACATGACCACTCTAGGTGGCTAGTAGGTCTACTCATATGGTGTTGAGCTGACTTGAATTTCTTTCTGAATTATTAGATTGACTAATTACATGCTGTACACCTCACAGGTAAGGAAATCCCTGGGCAGGCTTCTCTTGTCTTTGATGTGGCTCTCCTAGATCTTCATAACCCCAAAGATCGTATTACTGTGGAAAAGCAACAAGTACCTGAATCCTGTGAGCGTAAAAGCCAAGTTGGGGACTTCATCAGATATCACTATAATGGTACACTTCTGGATGGCACATTGTTTGATTCCAGGTAGCCAACTTACTAAATACATAGTTCTTTCTTTCTGCTATCCCATGTGTACTTTTGTAGTTCACAGATAGTTTTCTCGGCACACTTCTAGAGTGATGGATATAAACATTTTAAGTAACATGTAAAGAATCCTGAGGAAGAGAGCATGATTTGCACTGAGTTACATTTGGAATCGTCTTGATCTTTCCTCCACCCCTTTTTTCTGAGTTTTTATCTTTTCAAGAAGAGATTAGAAGTATAAACATCCAAACTGTGATGTCGGATGCTACTTTTAAAATGCACATCTCTGGGCAACATGTGATGTTTGTGCACTTGAACATTTTATAAATGCTACATATTTCTCTAGAGTAATTTATTATTTAATATTTTGTATTTTCCATTTGGTCTTGTTGTATTTGTGGAAAGAAAAATGTTTTAGTATAGTTAGCAAAGCAAAATCTATATATTTATATCTTTTATCACAGGATGTTACTGTGTGCTATTAAAACTTCAGATGATTTGCTTCTTATTCTTTTTACCATTAATTACTTTTGAAGTTTTTTTACTAAATGGATTAATGAGGAAGTTTGATTCCAAGTAAATAAATAAAAAAAGTACCGGTATAAGAGAGGGATGAAAAGAATCAGTATAACTGGGGTTGTTTTCTTACATGTGATCAAGCCCTAAGATGCTTTTTAAGGACATGTGTTGGTTGATGCAATAGGGTGTTTCTTTTAAAGGCATTAATGTGATACAGATTTATTAACATGAAGTTGTTGTAACTTCCTGGAGAAATGTTAACAATGAAGCTTAAATTGTAGCTTAAATAGGCATGTATTCTCTAAGACCGGGATCAGATGATTGTTGTGAGTTTTCCAGGCTATTTGGCTGTGTTCTTAAGGTTTTTCTTCCTAACGTTTTGCCAGTCTCTGTGGCTGGCATCTTCAGAGGACACGAGTCAGAACTCTGTGCTCTGTTATAAATAAGTTCTTACTCCCGGTAGCCTCAGTAAAGCAAAGTCTTTTCTGTAGTTATTCTCGGAACCGAACATACGATACCTATATTGGGAAAGGTTATGTGATTGCTGGAATGGATGAAGGCTTGCTTGGTGTATGCATTGGAGAAAAAAAGAGAATAACAATCCCACCTCATCTTGGTTATGGTGAAGAGGGAAGAGGTGAGTACAGGTTTTAATTCAGCACTTATTTTCTTAACAATGTCTAGTCATTCAGTCATTAGAAATTTAAGGACTTAGGCAGTGCATGGCATGAACAGTATGTTTTGTGCGTCGAGAGGGAAGTGTTTCCAAATGTCAGGCTTGTGAAGGCCAGTGCACCAGACACCTAGAAGCCAGCTGGGACTGATGGGAATCCCATAATTACTGTCAGTAGATCAAGTACCAGATCAAAGATAGGTGGGAATAGCGTGGATACCATACTGCGTATCAAGACTGTATGTTCACTCTTGTGTTTCCCCAGTGCATTACTTTTATTTATTGGTTCTTCTTTGTGGCCTCTGTGATTCACACCCTGGGTGATCTGCGTCTGCACGGAGCCTCATTGGAAAGTTCTAGAGCAGTGGTGTCCAACCTTGGCCCTCCAGATGTTCTTGGACTTCAACTCCCAGAAATCCTGGCCAGCAGAGGTGGTGGTGAAGGCTTCTGGGAGCAGTACAGTGGGGTCTTGACTTGAGAACTTAATCCGTATTGGAAGGCGGTTCTCAAGTCAAAAAGTTCTCAAGTCAAATCTGCATTTCCCATAGGAATGCATTGAAAACCATTTGATCCGTATCTGCTCTTTTCCGTCCATAGAAACTAATGGGAAGCTGCTATTCCGCCTTCGACCACTAGAGGGGGATATTTTGTTTCTTTTTTT